AAATCAAAATAATCACCCAAAGCTGAGAAGTTTTGAAGTTCCTGTGGATTTTAGCAACATTCCCTGCCCCACTGCTGAGGTTGATGATCTCCAGAGCTGGACTGAAAACAAATCTGCCTTAAAAATGGGAGAGGTTCAACTGCAGAATCAACATTAAAAACCCAAAATGTTCCATTTGTGAGACAGCTGAGGTGTGAAAATGCATCAGAAGGGGGAAAAGATCCCAACCAAAGCCTTTCTGTTCTCACAATTCCACCATCCCAAAGATTCCATGGATTCTGAAAGCTTGGGATGCTCCAAGTGAAAAAAAAAAAAAAGGAATTGTCCAATTCCAGGGATTTTATCCCAAAGATTCCATGGATACTGAAACCTTGGGATGCTCCAAGTGAAAACAAGGAATTGTCCAATTCCAGGGATTTTATCCCAAGGATTCCATGGATTTTGAAGTCTTGGGATGCTCCGAGTAAAAAAAAAAAAGGAATTGTCCAACCCCAGGGATTTTAACCCTTCCTGACCTATTGCAAACCAGAGCTTGAATGTGCCAAAATCTGGCACTGAATCTGCCACATGTGCCAAAATCTGCCACATTTTACCCCAAAGATTCCATGGATTCTGAAAGCTTGGGATGCTCCAAGTGAAAAAAAAAGGAATTGTCCAATTCCAGGGAATTTATCCCAAAGATTCCATGGACTCTAAACCTTGGGATGCTCCAAGTGAAAAAAAAAAGGAATTGTCCAATTCCAGGGAATTTATCCCAAATATTCCATGGATTCTGAAGCCTTGGGATGCTCCAAGTGAAAAAAAAAGAGGAATTGTCCAATTCCAGGGATTTTAACCCTTCCTGACCTATTGCAAACCAGAGCTTGAATGTGCCAAAATCTGGCACTGAATCTGCCACATGTGCCAAAATCTGCCACATTTTATCCCAAAGATTCCATGGATTCTGAAACCTTGGGATGCTATTAGTGAAAACAAGAAATTGTCCAATTCCAGGGAATTTATCCCAAGGATTCCATGGATTCTGAAAGCTTGGGATGCTCCAAGTGAAAAAAAAAGCAATTGTCCAATTCCAGGGATTTTATCCCAAAGATTCCATGGATTCTGAAGCCTGGGGATGCTCAAAGTGAAAACAAGGAACTGTCCAATTCCAGGGATTTTATCCCTTCCTGACCTATTGCAAACCAGAGCTTGAATGTGCCAAAATCTGGCCCTGAATCTGCCACATGTGCCAAAATCTGCCACATTTTACCCCAAAGATTCCATGGATTCTGAAACCTTGGAATGCTATAAGTGAAAACAAGGAATTGTCCAATTCCAGGGATTTTATCCCAAACATTCCATGGATTCTGAAGCCTTGGGATGCTCCAAGTGAAAAAAAAAGAGGAATTGTCCAATTCCAGGGATTTTAACCCTTCCTGACCTATTGCAAACCAGAGCTTGAATGTGCCAAAATCTGGCACTGAATCTGCCACATGTGCCAAAATCTGAGCACTGAATCTGCCACATGTGCCAAAATCTGGCACATTTTACCCCAAAGATTCCACGGATTCTGAAGCCTGGGGATGCTCCAAGTGAAAAAAAAGGAATTGTCCAACCCCAGGGATTTTATCCCTTCCTGACCTATTGCAAACCAAAGCTTGACTGTGCCAAAATGTGGGCACAGGAATTGCATCCCCTGCTGAGGACAGGTCTGAAACAAAGCTCTAAACCTAAAGCTGCTGCTAAAAAAAACCCCAAAATTCCTCCATCGCCCTCTTTTGACCAGGATCACCCTCCCAGAATGACAGAACACCAAGGGTTCCATAACCATGGGACATTTTTCTGCTTCCAGGAGCTGCTCCTGGCCAGGAACCCTGAAAATCCAGGATCCCAGACAGAGCCAGGCAGCAGCAGCAGCTGCCCATGGAAAAATCAACCAAAAAACCCAGAGATTTCCAGAAGCAAGACACGAGTTCAGCTTCCAGGATTCCCTAAATCCTAGCAGGTTTTTGAATTGTTGTGTTCCATCATTAGAGGTTTATTCCTATTTCCAGGAGCTGGGGAGGATGCTGGGCTCTTGTTTGCCTCCTACCAAAATTCTTTGAACCTTCCACATAACCCAAGCCAGGCACAAACTGATGCAAAAATTACCAAAACATTCCACAAAACCAAAGCTACTCCAGCAACAGGAACCTAAGAAAAATAAAAAAAAAAGCTTCTGTAATGCTGCATTTTTTTTTTAATTTTTTTTTTTTGGTTATTTTTTTAAAATCACCACGGTACAGAACTAAAACAGAATCTACTCTAACCCCACCTGCCTTAGGCTAAATTAAAAACAAACAGTGAGGAGCTGCACAAAAGTGCTCCTGAAGTGACCTAAAGAACCAGCAGGTGACAGAGGGAGCCCCCAGGGAGGCTCTGTCAGGAATGGACCCAGGAAAAGCTGGCAGCTCCTTTGGAACAAGGGAATCTTCCCTTCAGTCACCTGAAAACTGCAGTGGAGAAAAGGCAGCAAAAGCTGCTCCTCTCCCACCTCTTTCTCCCTTTTCCATCATCCTGTCCACGCTGATTTTTTTTTCCTGCCTCATTTTTATTTTTCCTGTTTGACCTGGTGGAATCTTTCCCATCCAGGCTGCATTTCCACAGGAAAACCTGGATTCTCTGTGGCACAGCAATTTTTTGGGAAGCTTCTTGGAGAGGAGCAGGAGCCCACAAATATTTTTTGGGCTTGACCCTCTGCCCAAAGCTATAAAAGCTCACAAAGAATTAAGTGCACAATTTTTTTTTTTTCAACAGCTAAACTTGGCTTTTCTCCACAAGGGGAACAAGGGGGAAGGGAAGCAATTAAATTGCAAGTTTTTAGTGCTCATTCATTGAATTTTCAATTCGAATCCCAGCCTGCAAATGTCAAAAGTCCAAGTATTTGGTAGGCATAAAATTGGCCAACCTGAACCAACCAAAGTGCTGCTATTTACACATAGCTCTAGAAATTTCCCAGAGCAGGCTTTTCCCAAAGATGCAAACCAAAATAAAAAATTCCAGATGCCTGCTCTTCACCATCACCTGCAGCTTCGCTTCTGCATGTCAAAAATAAAAATAAAAAGAGAAAAAAAAAAAAAAAAAAAGGTCAATATTGCACATTTTAAGAGCTGCTGGTGCAGGAATTTCCTCCTGCATCTGCTGATGTCTAAATGTGAAGCATTTTTTGCCTCTGACAGGAGCCAACAGGAAGACAGGTCACTCCATGAGCTCACTCCCTGCTTCTCCACCTGAAAAAGGAATATTTATTTTTTTTTTCTCCCACTTTTCCCCTGGGCAGGTGAACAATGCCCAAGAAAAATGTTCCACCCACCTGTCCCAGGTGTCACATCAGGAACACACAAAAAGTGGTTTTTGTTTGTTTTTTTCTGTATCTCAATGTCAGGATATAGAAAGGGAACAGCACTGCAGGAAAAGAAAAGTCCTGGGTGTTGTGGCTTTTAAAGGGAATTCCAAGCCTGCAAAAGTGGCAGAAGGAAAAGAAAAAAAAAAAACAACTCTGGAAAAGTTTGAGTTCTTCTCCATGGAATAGGTGCAGTATTTACAGCAAACTCTGTCAGCTCCTCGTGCTGGACAGGGGAAAATCTTAAAATCTTCCTCTGCTCGTGGCAGCCTGGAGGATGCTGAAGGAAGGAGATGTCTCCATCTGTTTTCTGGGAATTTTTCATGGGGAAGATGCTCTGACACCCCCAACTCAAAGCCAGAAGTTGCTGCCTGACATCAGATCCCCCAAATGTGGAAGGACACAAAGCCAAAGCCCAACACACCCAGAACTGAGGGGCTGAGAGAGGAGCAGCTCTCATTTCCTCACCCCTCAGTTTTCTCAAAAGGCCTCCTGAGGTGTAAAAAATCCACCTACAAATTCCATCTCACCTCCAATGGCTCTGGAAAAACAATCCTGCATCATTAATCCAGGACACCAAGGAGGTAAAAACAGATTTACCACGAGGTTAAACCCCATGGAAACCCCTTCAGCCTGGTTTGGGGTCCAAAAAAGAAAAAACCTCAAAATCAACAGCTCCACTGCAAAACTTGGGATAAGAGCTGGCAAAAGAGGAGCTTTTCCACGTGGGGAAAAGCAGGAAATTTTTCCAGAACTGTGGGGAAAGAAAAGCAACACTTAATGCTGGGGTCTGGAATTGCAGGTCAGGCAGCAACCTCCCCTAAAAACCAAGGGAAAATCCCCCAAAAACTGCAGGGAAAATCCCCCAAAACTGCAGGGAAAATCCCCCAAAACTGCAGGGAAAATCCCCCAAAACTGCAGGGAAAAAGCCCCAAAACTGCAGGGAAAATCCTCCCATCCTGCTGATCCAGCAGGGAGCTCCCAGGGCTGTGGCACAAGAAATGTTTGGACTCCAGCATTGAAACTCTGTGAGAAGTGAAAGGAGCTCATCCCATCCAAAATCCAGCCCCAGGGGCTCCACAGAATTGTCCTGGATATAAACTTGGAATAAATCCTTGGAAAAAAAATAAAAAATTCTCCCTGCAAAAAAAAAAAATAAACCAAAATAAAAATAGAGACAAGGGCAGCAGAAAAGCCCTGGTGCTTCTGTTGCTGCAGAGGTTGTGGTGCCCCCAGGGCAGAGCTGGCAGCACACACCCCATTCCCAAACTTTTCCTGGAATGCCAGCTTCCATCAGGATTCAGGGTTCTCCTTGCTGAGCACAGGGAGCAGAAGAACAGAGGGTTTTGTTTGTTTTTTGTTTTTGTTTTTTCCCAAGAGTCACAGAGAAAAGCCTCCTCTGGTGCTGTTTGCTGCAGTCAGTGCAGGGGCAGTTGCTGCAACACCACCCAAAATTCCTTTTGGACACGGGGAAAAACCTTCCAAAGTGAGGAGGAGAAGAAACTGGAGCTGCAGCTCCTATTAAGGCGTTTGCATATACATTCCCAACCTGGGTTCTTCCAAAAAAAGGGGGAATTTTTGCACAAAAAAGGCTTTTTTTTGTCGTTTTTTTTTTGGTTTTTTTTTTTGGATTCGGGAATGGCAACGACTCCGACTGTTGAGAATCTCAGTGGAATTCCAAACTGCTTGTTTTAAAAAAACAGGTGGTGGAAGGGAAAATGTCCCATCTCTTTTGCCTTGCTGTCCTTGTGCAGAAATCCCATGTGCTATGTCTTCTGCAGGTCTGGGGAAAAGGGGCCAGGGGTGGAGGGTCCATCCAGTCCAGACAGGGTAAATGGGCCATGACTGTTCAGCACGGATGGGAACTAAGAGATAAAACAAGAATCATCAAAAAAAAACCACTTTAATTCAATGTTCCTCCCACATCTGTGCACGAAGAAGGGCAAAAAAATCCCCAGATGTAACAACAAAACAAAGCAAAGCCACCCCAGGTTTCAAGGATGCTCTTGGCTCCTCACTTTTAATTGATTTTTTAATGCCAAGCAGTGTCACAGTGACCCCATATCCTCATTAAAATGGGACTTTAATCCAGGTTCTGAGGAAAACAGGGTCTAAATTACCCCTCAGTTAATTATCAGCTCTTTCCATGCTGAAATATCCACTGTCATTCCAGCCCTCCTTGTTTATTTTATATCCTCATGGTACAGATGAGGAAATTCCTTCATCTCCATGGAGATGACAGATCCCAAGCCAGAAAATTTCATTAAATTATTAAATTTCAAAGAAATTAAATAAAAATTAACTAAATTTGTTAAATTCTACCATTTACCACAGCAAATGTGGTAATTCCAGTGCCAGAGTGGTAATTCCAGTGCCAGAGTGGAAGTGTGAGGGAAAAACATGATAATTACAACTAAAGGGGTGGTTTTTTCTTAAATATAGTGGATTTTTTGCTATATAGTAAAAAATACCCTGGCCTTGGACACTTCCAGGGATCCAGGAGCAGCCACAGCTTCTCTGGGCCTCTCCACCCTCACAGGGGTGAATTTTAAAGATTTCTTCCATAAAAATCATCAAAAACTGTGCCACACATCAGCACAGAGATCAAACACACACTCCTTCTCCTCATTAGTTGTGAGATTAATTCATATTTTTTGTTGTGAGATTAATAATTATTTTTAGTTGCGAGATTAAGGAATATTTTTAGTTGCGAGATTAATGAATATTTTTCATCAGGAATGACTGGAACAATCAATAGAGCGGAAAATTTCTAAAATTCATGAAAATCCCAACCAAAAAAAAAAAGTTACAGGGAGGAAATTTTTACAGGAAGAACAGACCTAAAAAGGACAAATAATCTCTCTCTAAAGCAGCCTGTGCTGCAGTTGATTTCAACCATTCCTGAAACACCAACATTTACAATATCCTGAAATAAAACCGGGTAAAAAAATAAAATTAATGCTGCAACAGGGGGCAGGAAACAACAACTCCTGGTTTATTTCTGCTGCAAATATTGGGAATAATTGGTCCTGCAGGTGTGTTGGAAGCCAGGGAATTCCTCTGGCTGCCCTGGAGGGCTCCAGCCCCTGCCTGGGGGGCTCAGAGCCCTGGACCCCCGTGCCTTTGATTGAGCCCTTGGAAAAAACAATCACCAACCTTCTGTGAAGATTTACAAGTTTAAGTAGAATGACAGTGAATTTATCACAGGGTGAAAAATAGATCTTTGAGGTTTTTAGAACGGGGGTTTGGGGGTCTCAAGATGGAGGAATTTGGGAGTGCCTTGTCCTTTTTCCTTCTTCTTCTTCTTCTTGGCCTCCATCTTCTGGGTGATGTTGGCACTTTAGGATTGGTTTAAGGTAGGAACTTGTGGGGATCTCTCACTGCTCACAATGACCCCAAGAAATGTTCAAAGTCTCTTTTCCCAGCCCATAGCTCAAAGAAGGAGTCAGGGCTCTTCATTTCTCTGTCTCAAGGTTGTTCATTGTTTCTTATCTATAAAAATTTTTCTCCTGCCCTGCCGAGGTCCATCCAGCAGGACAGTTCCAGGCACTCTGCCTGCCCCCTGGGAATGGGAATCCCTGGGAATGGCACTCCCTGGGGAATGGGAATCCCTGGGGAATGGCACTCCCTGGACAATGTCACTCCCTGGGAATGGCACTCCCTGGGGAATGGGAATCCCTGGAGAATGGGAATCCCTGGAGAATGGGAATCCCTGGAGAATGGGAATCCCTGGGGATGGCACTCCCTGGGAATGGGAATCCCTGGAGAATGGCACTCCCTGGGAATGGGAATCCTTGGGAATGGCACTCCGTGGGAATGGGAATCCCTGGAGAATGGGAATCCCTGGGAATGGGAATCCCTGGAGATGGCACTCCTGGGGATGGCACTCCCTGGGAATCCCTGGAGAATGGGAATTCCTGGGAATGGGACTCCCTGGGGATGGCACTCCCTGGAATGGCACTCCCTGGAGAATGGGAATCCCTGGGGATGGCACTCCCTGGGAATGGCACTCCCTGGAGAATGGGAATCCCTGGGAATGGGAATCCCTGAAGAATGGGAATCCCTGGAGAATGGGAATCCCTGGAGAATGGGAATCCCTGGAAATGGCACTCCCTGGAGAATGGGACTCCCTGGGGATGGCACTCCCTGGAGAATGGGAATCCCTGGGAATCCCTGGAGAATGGCACTCCTGGGGATGCACTCACCTGGAACAGGGTGTTAGCACCTTGCAGGCGGGCAGGGCTCAGGGGAGCCACGGGGCTCAGGGTGCTCCAGAAGTGGATGCTGGAGAGCAGAGGGCTGGGAGTCAGCAGGATGGGAGTCTGGAAAGGGAGGAGAACAGCTCTGTCAGAGCCCTTCCCAGGAATTCCAGCTTTTCCCATAGAATTCTACCCCTTCCCACAGAATTTCAGCCCTTCCCCTGGAATTCCAGCAGGGAAATTCCAGCTTTTCCCCACAGAATTCCAGCCTTCCCTGTGGAATTCTGGCTTTTCCCCACAGAATTCCAGCCTTCCCTGTGGAATTCCGGCTTTTCCCCACAGAATTCCAGCAGGGAAATTCCAGCCTTTCCCCATGGAATTCCAGCCTTTCCTCATGGAATTCCAGCCTTTCCCCATGGAATTCCAATAGGGAAATTCCAGCTTTTCCCCACAAAATTCCAGCCTTTCCCACAGAATTCCAGCAGGGAAATTCCACCCTTTCCCCATGGAATTCCACCATTTCCTCATGGAATTCCAGCCTTTCCCCATGGAATTCCAATAGGGAAATTCCAGCTTTTCTCCACAGAATTCCAGCAGGGAAATTCCAGCCTTTCCCCATGAAATTCCAGCCCTTCCTCTGGAATTCCAGCCTTTCCCTATAGAATTCCAGCCTTTCCTCATGGAATTCCAATAGGGAAATTCCAGCTTTTCCCCACAGAATTCCAGCAGGGAAATTCCAGCCTTTCCCCATGGAATTCCAGCCTTTCCCATGGAAATCCAGCCTTTCCCCATGGAAATCCAGCCCTTCCCCTGGAATTCCAGCTTTTCCTGTAGAATTCCAGCCCTTCCCCATGGAATTCCAGCTTTTCCAGCCTTTCCCCTGGAATTCCAGCCCCAACACCCCCTCAGCTGCCACAACTCCCATCCCCTCCTTCCTCTCCTCCTCCTCCTCCTCCTCCTCCTCCTCCCTGCCAGCCCCTTCCAGCTCTCCCTCCCTCCCCTCACTGAGCAATCCAACCCCTTTTTTCCCCCCCAAATCCTGCTGGAAGCCACAGCAGAGCAGCTCCTCCTTCAATCCAGCACTCTGGAAAAGTGTGGATTTAAAAAGGAAAAAAAAAAAAACAATTTCTGGATTTAAAAAGGAAAAAAAACCCCAAAACAATGGGCATGAGGCTGCTGCTGGTGCCACTGACAACGCCAGCAACAACAAAAGGAGTTCCCATCCAGCTCCTGAATATTCCAGGTTCACCAGCCAAGCACTTCCCAGGGTGCCAAAAGAACAACTCCACTTGCATTTTGTTTGGTTTTTTTTTTCTTTTTTCCCCCCTGTCTTCAGCCACTTCAGTTTTCAACCAGCAGCTCCCCCATGGTTTCATTCTAATCCCAATTTATTGCAGGGGAGAGATCACACAGATACAGAATGATTTAACAGCCCTGCTGGATTCAGTTCCCTTCCAAGTTTTCCATGAGACATGAAAGCTTTCCTTTCCCACACAAAGATAACGACCAAATTAAGCAGCTGCTCTTATGGCTGCTTGCTCACAAGACTTTGGCTTTAACTAAATGCTGCTAACTGAGGGAAAAAAAGAGCTCAGCAGACACCTCTGTGGGGCTGGTTTTGAAGGATTTGCAGGCCCAGCTGAAGGATTTAGGAATAACTCAGTATTCCCCTGGCAAGGTTTACAAAATCCTGCTGGAGCTGGTTTGGGTTTTGCCTCCACACGCCCAGCACCTGGGCACACTTTGGGGTGAATGAACTTTTGTTTGATTCAAGAAAAAAAACACAACAAAAAAACAACCAGGGAGTGACATCCTGAGTTTCAAATCTCTGCATACAATGAACTATTCATTTTCCACTTGCTGTTTTCAAGCATAACATCATCACTATTGTTAGTTTAAACAAAAAAAAAAAAAAAAAAACAAAAAAAACCAACAACAAAAAAAAAAAAAAGAGAAACCAGGAAAGGAATTGAAGGAGATTTGATCACCTGAGAGAAAAGTGCTGGAGTAAGAGAAGCAGTTGGGAGAGAAGGACTCAGGATGCCCAGAGGACTTGGATCACTGCCTGTGATCACCAGAGTGGGAGCCAGCTCCAGCCCTTTGGGTTTTTTCGACCTGGAGAGGTGATTGGCAAATTCCTTCTCCAACCCTGCAGCTGAATCCTGCTGCTCTTTGGGCTCTGGGGATTGCTGCTGGAGGCTCTGGGCCTGCTCCAGCTGCTGGGAAGTCACAGATTCGATGTCTGTGTCAATGTCCAGGTCGGGGTTGGAGCTCAGCGGCGGCGAGGGCGGCGTGGAGGGCACCTGGAGGCTCGGGGACACTGAGGAAATGGGCGGGGTCGGGGTGTAGCTGGTGCTCAAGTTTGGCAAAGGCGCTGGAGGAGCTTCAGGGACGCTGAGCTTGGGCAGGACAAGAGTCTCCAGGGTCTGCAGAGTCTCCTCAGAGCCCAGCGGGAGCGAGGAGGACACGGCGGGGCTGGCAGAAGCCGTGGAGGTGACAGCCACGGCCGAAGCGGTGGAAACCAGGGGGGCAGAGGGCGGTGGCTTTTTGGAGGGCACGGTGACAAACTTGATGACAGAAGGGGTGGGGTCCTGAGGTTTCTTCTCCGTCAGCTTCTCGGCCGGGTTCTCGATCTTGATGGACCTGAAGAGCTTCACGCTGGAGGAGTTGAGGGAGTTGAGGGTGAAGGAGGAGTACAGGCCTGAGTGGATGTAGTCATTACGGCTGGAGGACTTTGCACACGACTGGGATTTCTCCTTGCCACAGCTCTCCACGTCCTTGGGGGTGCTGGTGACCTCCCCAAAGCCGGGCATCTCGGGGTCCCCCTCGATCCGGCCCACCACCAGCGGATCCATGTTCAGGATCTCCGGGTAGGACACGAATTTGTACACAAATTTCTTGCCATTCACCTTCTTGATGATATTCTGGTGGGGAAGAAGACAAAAGTATATTTAGACCTTTCTTCAGATTAATTTTCTTCCTACAAACACTGCCTAAAATAGGCAGAGGAATTAAAGTCTGTAATCTTTCAGCCAAAAAAAAAAAAAAACCCAAAAAACAAGAGAATGTTTCTTCTTTTCCTGTTTTAAAAACACCCTGCATGTTCCAGTTCTGTTCTCGGAGCTGGCAGACAAAACACTGCAACAGGTGAGCCTAACCTGACATTAAACATACTAAAAACAGCTTAAAAAATGCCAAGAAATCCTCATTAAAATAAAAAAAATGCCCATTACCCCCAGCAAGAATCACTTAGCTGGGTACACTATGGGTAATTTAATAGAAGAACTTGCTAAAGGGTTTCTCCAGGACTGCAGAATTGAGAGCTTGCACTTCAAATCAAACCACCTTTATTCTTAATAAGATGATAATAAAGGAAAATAAGCAGCTGAACTCGTCAGCAGAATGCAGGCTAATCAGTTATTCCAATACCACAGAACAGCATCTGTCAAACTTGTTTTGCTCCTCAGCGAAATGCCACACACACTTTGGACTTGGAATTATCCTTATTTATCGTTGCCTGATTGCTGCTGAGATCTCTCAGCACCAAAGCAGATTTGTGGCACCCAGTAATGAACACCAGCACCCTCCCACCTGCTCCAGGCTGAGGCTCCTCAGAAACTGGGGGTTATTTTTATCTGCTCCACTCACACACGAGCAGCCGTGGGATAAAGGGAAACAAAGGTGAGACTCCCAAGATGTTGGATAAACAAAAGCTTCTTACTCTGCTGGGCTGAAAACAGTGGTCAAAGTGAAGGTGAAATACGCAGAAAAAAAATAAAAATACTTAGGGATGGAAAATGTTGCTTTTGAAAGAAATAAATGTAAAGAGAAAGCTGCAAAAAGACCTGGAAGTGGTGCAATATTCACGCCCTCCATCATCATCCTCTCCCCGTGCTGTACCTGGATTTTAATCCTTGCAAGGCTGTGTATTTTTGGAAGGGGGATGAGAATCCAAAGGCAAATTTGTATGAGCAAAGCCACCGAGCCACCAGAACCTCCCAAAACAACCAGCGAGGAGGAAACAGCACAGCGATAAATGCAATTAAAAACCAACCCAACACCTTCAAACAAAGCAGCTCAACTTCCTTCAACCTGGCAGAGGCACAGCAAGGAGGAAGAGGAGGAGGAGGAGGAGGAGGAAACAAAGCTCCTTAGCTCAGAGGGATAAGGATTGGAGCAGGATTTCCAGCCTACCTTCACGTAGTAGTAGCGCAGCGCCCGGCTGAGTTTATCATAGTTCATGCTGGGCTTGTTCTTACGGATCCCCCAGAGCCTGGCCACCTCCTCTGCCTGCAGCAGCTTGAATTCCCCGTCGTTGGAGGTCCAGCAGATGATGTTCTTGTTCTGAGGCTCTTGGAGCAGCTGGAGGAGGAACTGCCACAGGGTGATGGCACTGTCCATAGCAGAGAGCTGCAATTCACAAAGGCAAGGTTAAGCCCGGAGCATTTCCCTCCTCTCTCTCCCTACAAGGGGGTGAAAAAATGGAGCAGGGATTGTTATTTTTCCAAAGGCAGCAAGAGTAAAAAATTATATTAGTCACCAGTCGTGAAAGATGTTCCCTGCAGAACTGAGGGGCTGAGTGCCAACTCTGGCGTCTCCTCCCACATGTCAGTACTTTTCACATGGGTTATATTTAGCCTCATTTAACTAAATCAGGTCACTTTGGGTAAGTTGCAGTGAGTCACTACCCCCCAAAAAAAAAAAAAAAAATGTTTCCAAGTTGTTCCATGTTCACCCACTCTGGCTTGTGGTGCTTTGTGAGAAGGAGCTCAGGTACAGCCAGGTAGGGATCAAAGCACCCCCTCACCTCCTCCTTTCCCTCCTGCTCCCACCTCACAGGGAGCACAGCACAGCCAGGAACTGCACAGCTCCACGAAGATGCCAGGGCCAAAACAACTCAATCTCCCCTCAGTTTCCAGTCTCCCCATCACCCCAATCTCCCCTCAAATCTTTCTTTTCCAGGTATCACCCCATTCTTTTTTTTTATAAGAATAAACACAAAACTAAATTAAAATTATTCCAAACACAGCCTTTGCTCCATCCCTGCCACGTCTTACCCACATCAATGATTTAGGCTGGGACGTTCTAGGACTGGTATCTGCCAGTTCATTCCTGCTCTGAAGTTGTTGATTTTCCCTTCTGCTCCCACCTCGCCGGGAGCACAGCACAACCAGGAACTGAGAGGCTCCAGGAAGATGCCAGAGCCAAAACAACCCAATCTCCCCTCAGTTTCCAGTCTCCCAATCTCCCTTCAAATCTTTCTTTTCCAGGTATCACCCCGTTCTTTTTTTTTATAAGAATAAACACAAAACTAAATTAAAATTATTCCAAACACGGCCTTTGCTCCATCCCTGCCACATCTTACCCACATCAGTGATTTAAGCTGGGACTTTCTAGGACTGGTATCTGTCAGTTCATTCCTGCTCTGAAGTTGTTGATTTTCCCTCCTGCTCCCACCTCACAGGGAGCACAGCACAGCCAGGAACTGCACAGCTCCACGAAGATGCCAGAGCCAAAACAACCCAATCTCCCCTCAGTTTCTATTCCAGCCTCTCAATCACCCCAATCTCCCTTCAAATCTTTCTTTTCCAGGTATCACCCCTGTTCTTTTTCTTTATAAGAATAAACACAAAACTAAATTAAAATTATTCCAAACACGGCCTTTGCTCCATCCCTGCCACATCTTACCCACGTCACTGATTTAGGCTGGGACGTTCTAGGACTGATATCAATGATTTAGGCTGGGGCTTTCTAGGACTGGTATCAATGATTTAGGCTGGGACGTTCTAGGACTGATATCAATGATTTAGGCTGGGACTTTCTAGGACTGGTATCAATGATTTAGGCTGGGACTTTCTAGGACTGGTATCAATGATTTAGGCTGGGACTTTCTAGGACTGGTATCAATGATTTAGGCTGGGACTTTCTAGGACTCATATCTGCCAGTTGATTCCTGCTCTGAAGTTGTTGATGCATAAATTCATCAAGGACAGAGCAGGCAGGTAACACTTGACCATTTCTGACTACACCAAACAGAATTTCCACAAATATTTTTCAGCAGAACATTCATCATTCTGGATGAATTAAACCAGGCAAAATATTAATTCAGCATCTCCTATAGATTCTCTAATTAAGGCAGCTTAAACTTCTTCCTGTGAAATAAAAACAGGAAAAAAGTGCTCTGGGATAGTGAATAACACTGGATATACATAATATTGGATATACACTATATTTTTTCCTATTTTTTACTACACCAAACAGAATTTCCACAGATACTTTTAAGCAGAACACTCATCATTCTGGATATTAATTCAGCATCTCCTATACATTCTCTTAGTCCAGAATTGTTTAATTAACACAGCCTAAACTTCTTCCTGTGAAATAAAAACAGGAGAAAAATGCTCTGGGATAGTGAATAACACTGGATATATAAAATATTGGATCTACACTATATTTTTTCCTATTTTTTACCATTTTTGACTATACCAAACAGAATTTCCACAGATACTTTTAAGCAGAGCACTCATCATTCTGGATAAGGTACAGTGTGAATTAAACCAAGCAAAATATTAATTCAGCATCTTCTATACATTCTCTTAGTCCAGAACTGTTTAATTAACACAGTTTAAACTTCTTCCTGTGAAATAAAAACAGGGAAAATGCTCTGGGATAGTGAATAACACTGGATATACATAATATTGGATATACACTGTATTTTTCCCTATTTTTTTACCATTTTTGACTACACCAAACAGAATTTCCACAGATACTTTTCAGCAGAACACTCATCGTTCTGGATAAGATACAGTGTGAATTAAACCAGGCAAAATATTAATTCAGCATCTCCTATAGATTCTCTGTTTAATTAACACAGCCTAAACTTCTTCCTGTGAAATAAAAACAGGAGAAAAATGCTCTGGGATAGTGAATAATGCTGGATATACATAATATTGGATCTACACTGTATTTTTTCCTATTTTTTACCATTTTTGATTACACCAAACAGAATTTCCACAGATACTTTTAAGCAGAACACTCATCATTCTGGATATTAATTCAGCACCTCCTATAGATTCTCTTAGTCCAGAACTGTTTAATTAACACAGCTTAAACTTCTTCCTGTGAAATAAAAACAGGAAAAAAGTGCTCTGGGATAGTGAATAACACTGGATATATCAAATATTGGATGTTCACTATATTTTTTCCTAATTTTTTACCATTTTTGACTACACCAAACAGAATTTCCACAGATACTTTTAAGCAGAGCACTCATCATTCTGGATAAGGTACAGTGGGAATTAAACCAGGCAAAATATTAATTCAGCATCTCCTATAGATTCTCTGTTTAATTAACACAGCCTAAACTTCTTCCTGTGAAATAAAAACAGGAAAAAATGCTCTGGGATAGTGAATAACACCAAAAATGCTCTGGGATAGTGAATAACACCGTAATATTGGATATACACTATATTTTTCCCTATTTTTTTACCATTTTTGACTACACCAAACAGAATTTCCACAGATACTTTTAAGCAGAGCACTCATCATTCTGGATATTAATTCAGCACCTCCTATATATTCTCTTAGTCCAGAACTGTTTAATTAACACAGCCTAAACTTCTTCCTGTGAAATAAAAACAGGAGAAAAATGCTCTGGGATAGTGAATAACACTGGACATACTAAATATTGGATATACACTATATTTTTCCTATTTTTTACCATTTTTGACTACACCAAACAGAATTTCCACAGATACTTTTAAGCAGAGCACTCATCATTCTGGATAAGACCAGGCAAAATATTAATTCAGCATCTCCTATAGATTCTCTGTTTAATTAACACAGTTTAAACTTCTTCCTGTGAAATAAAAACAGGAAAAATGCTCTGGGATAGTGAATAACGCTGGATATACATAATATTGGATATACACTATATTTTTCCTATTTTTTCCCTGTATTTTTTTCCTATTTTTTCCTATTTTTTGACTACACCAAACAGAATTTCCACAGATACTTTTAAGCAGAGCACTCATCATTCTGGATAAGGTACAGTGGGAATTAAACCAGGCAAAATATTAATTCAGCATCTCCTATAGATTCTCTGTTTAATTAACACAGCCTAAACTTCTTCCTGTGAAATAAAAACAGGAAAAATGCTCTGGGATAGTGAATAACACTGGATATACATAATATTGGATATACACTGTATTTTTCCCTATTTTTTTACCATTTTTGACTACACCAAACAGAATTTCCACAGATACTTTTAAGCAGAGCACTCATCATTCTGGATAAGGTACAGTGTGAATTAAACCAGGCAAAATATTAATTCAGCATCTCCTATAGATTCTCTTAGCCCAGAACTGTTTAATTAACACAGCCTAAACTTCTTCCTGTGAAATAAAAACAGGAAAAATGCTCTGGGATAGTGAATAACACTGGATATATCAAATATTGGATGTACACTGTATTTTTCCCCCTAGGAAAGGGGGTCCAGGGGATCCATCTGGGCGAGTTTGATATTCAAACACGAATCCCAAGATATTCAAGCACGGATCCCAAGCTCCAAAGCAAAGGGAGCCGGATCCAGGCGGGTGTTGGGTGATGTCCCTGTGCACACAGGGCTCAGCCTGCCCTGCCAGCTCATCCCTGCTCCCAAAGCCTTTTATTCCAATCTCATTAGTGCCCAGCACTTGGCCAGCCCTATATAAGGAAGGGAACTGTGTCCAGAGCACTCAGGGAGCCCTGGGACAGGATTAGAGCTGACACTTCACACAGGGCTGGGGGAAAACCAGCTGCTCTGGGGGCATGGCACCTTTCTGGGCACCTTTTTGGGCATTTCAGCCCTTGTGCAGAATCCCTGCCTCGTGGCACACGCTGCCTGATGTGACATTGATCCAGGCAGGGAAATTGCTGCAATTACACGCAACAATCTCCAAGGCAAGGCCACCCACACCCCCTGGTGAGGCTGGCCCGAGGTGCTTTCCCTGTTAATTACAGCACAACTCCCTGCTTGCCCAAATTAATTGCTCAGCGCTCGAAGAAACTGCAGGCTGCGCTTCCAGACTCTTCCCACACCTCTCCGCGCTCTGCCAGCTGATCCATAGGGGATTTAGGCACCAGGAAAACACCTTCGAACCCTTCCAGCACCGCCTGGTGCTGCCACGGTGTTGCCAGCATCCCAGGCACAGCGCTGTGCCTCGTTGTGCAGGGGGATGATGCAGCCACACGTGGTGGAGCGGATGGAGAGCACGGGGACGGGGCTGTCAGGAGCACGGGGATGCGCCCAGAGCGAGCAGAAAACCCGGCCGAGCCATGGATCCCACGCTGCGCTCATCCCCAGCGCTCCGGGAGCGCCGCAGCAAAGTGGGGCCACGTGGAAATCACGGTAGCAACGGCAATTCACAGCG